AAAACATTTATATAAATACACTTAATTTCTCATATAAATATTAAAAAGTTAAATTTCGTTTTATTTGGGTATTTTTTAGAATATTTTTAAATTGAATGCAACACATTTCGATAAAATGGGTGAAAAAAATTTTCCATTTAATATAAAATTAAATAAAAAATTTTAAATAAGAATTTTCATGTAATAAAATTTACAAATTTTACAAAATACTTTATTTTATTTTTTAATGATAAACATAAAACATATTTATTTTTTAAATTTTGGAATCCTTTATTCATTAAAATAAAAGTATTTTGAAGTTTAAAAAAAAAAATATGGTAATAATTAATAATATTATTAACATCCATAATATAATAATGAAATAAAAAATAACATTTTTAATAATTAAATATATATATGTATATATAAAACAAGAAATTAATGAAAAAAATATATTTTTAAAATGATAAGTTAATTTTAATTATACTAAAATGTTTTTTTGTAAAGGTTCCTGTATTTCTTTATTTTAGAAAGTTTAAAAAAATATGAAATTTTTTATCTTTTTTGTTACTGCGGATTTAACGTTTAATATTTATATCATTATAAGATTTCCTCTCTCTTTTTTAATTTCATTAATATACCTGGATAAAAACTATTTACTTTTAATACCAAAATATATATGATAATCTCATTTGAATTTATTTTAAAATATACTTATTTAAGTATAATTTAAGTGTTTCTTTTTTTTAATTTTCGCAAGTATGTTTAAAAGGTAAACAATTTGTAATTAAAGAATTCATACAGTATCATATGCTGAAAATCATAATGCAAAAGAACATACTTTGTACTTTCGTTTTACAAGAGTATTAGGTAAATAACAATTTTTTTTTAAAGTACATAAAAATACATTTATTATATTTTACTTAAAGCTAATTTTCATATTTTCTTTACATCTACTCTTATACAATCAATAACAAATAAAAAAAAAAAAAAAAGAGAATAATTATTGATAAAGTTCTTACATAAAATATTTTAAAAGTAATATTTAAGGGAAAATTATGGTATATTAGATAACTAAATAAAAATAATGTATTTAAAATTTAATATAAATTGATTATTCATAAGATGGGATGGGCGAAAATAATTGGAAGTCAATATTTTTTAAAATGGTTAAGTTTTATGAAATAAATATTTTTATATCAAGTAATTTTTTTTAAGCAGTTGGACAAAAAATAACAAATAAATGTAATAATTTCATTTGATGAATTCATTGTTAATAGTGAGGTGCGATTTTGAATAAATTTATGTTTTATACTTATTAGAATTTATATTTATAAAGTAACATACAAATTTAATTTTTTTTAAATTATGTAAATGGATATAAACTTAATAATACAAAAAAAGTGTTAAAAAAATTATGATATATAATAATTTTACTAAAGCACGTTGTAATAAAAATATTTTTATAAATTTTTTTTTAAATTATTCATATATATTGAATTGTTAAACCTTACATATATATAGCATAAAAAAAAAATTAAAAGTTAATTATGTTTCAAATTGAAAATATAAATTTATTTTTATATTTTTTGAAATTCATAATAGCTTTTATTTAGATACTTTTTATTAGTATGTTAACTATAATATTTGGTAGAATGATTTTTTTTAATAAAAAAAATTAATTTGTTAAATAAAAACATAATTTAAAAATTTATTAAAATTAAAAAACTTTTGAATTATAAATTATTTTTATAATTTCAAAAATAAAAAAAGAATTATTAATTGAAACATATGAAAATAATTCAAATGTTCGCATTATGTTTAACTCTCTTTTCAAAATAAAAAGAAATTTTTTTTTAGATTAATGTACCAAAAAAAAAAAAAAAATAAATAAATAAAATGGAAAGTTATGTTAATAATTTTGATAAAATAAACAATTATGATGAAATAAAAAATATGAACATATCTGAAAACAATGAATTTTGTAAAAAAGATATTAAATATGAAACACAAATCCCAAATAATGGATGTGTTATGGAATTTAGTGAAGAGAAAAAATTAAATGATATAAATGAAAACGAGATAAATTTAACTAATAAATTTTTACCTAATTGCAATAATAGTGAAATGAAAGTAGATAATTATAATGATGGAAATTATCAAATCGATGAAATAAATGAAGTATCAAATGATATTATAAATAGTGTTAATGAAGTAGTGTATGATTTTAATAGTGATAGTACATATGGAACACATGAAAAAAGTAGAGAAAGAGAAAGACATATGAAAAGTAAGCATAGGCACATAAGTAAAGATAGGAAAAGAAGTAGAAGAAGAGATAGAAATAGGAATAGAAGTAGAGAAAGAAGTAGAGACAGAAGCAGATATAAAAGTAGGAATAGAAGTAGAGACAGAAGCAGATATAAAAGTAGGAATAGAAGTAGAGACAGAAGTAGACATAAAAGTAGGAATAGAAGCAGAGATAAAAAAAGAGATAAATATAGAAGTAGGAGTAAAGGGCGAAGTAGAGATAGACATAGGTATAGAAAAAGGGATAGAGAAAGAAGCATAGATAGACATAGGTATAAGCATAAAGACAAAAGTGTAGATAAACATAGAAAAAGAAGCTTAGATAGATATAATGATAAACATAAGAGTAGAAGAAGAATTTCAAATAATAGGTATGAAAAAAATAGTAAAAATAGAGATAGTATTAGTTATAGTGATGACAAAAGTGACGAAAAAGGAAAAAATAATAATAGATTTTATAGCAATGAAAGAGAGAATGATATAAAAAGAAGTATAAATAATAATTTAATTGATAAAGTAAATAATGAAAATAGAGATTATGATGATTTAAATAATAATAAAGTTAATGCAAAATTAAATGAAGTAAATAATAATTATAGAGAACAAATAGAAATAAATAATTCTGAAAAAAAACTAATTACAAACGACATTAATTCAAGTAATAATATTATAAATAATAATTATAATCAAAATGCACACGATTCAAACTCAAAAGAAAAAAACACAAAATTATGTATAGATGAAGAAAAAAATTATAATGCTTTATCAAGTGAAAATGAAAAAGAAGATATGTCTGAGAATGATATGATTAAAAAAATTATAGGGATTAGCCAATTTGACACAACTGAAAATAAATGTCATAATCAAACTGATTTATCAGGAATAAATAGAAGGACAAAAAGAAAATATCGACAATATATGAACAGGAGGGGGGGATTTAATAGACCTCTATCACCCTCGTTCTAGTATTAATTTAAATCTTAATTAGATATATATATATATATATATATTGTAATTTCCTTTAACAAATAATATATATATTTTAGTAAAATTATCTTTTTTTTTTCTCTCTAAAACATTTATATATTTTAAAAGTTTCCTGTTTTTATTATTTTTAATATATTTTAAATATAATTTTTTTTTCTGTGTTATATAATATTTAATTTTTTTATAATTAAAAAGAAACTTATAATGTTTTTAAAAGTAAAATAAATTTGTATATGATCTACCATCTGCAATATTATAAAAATTTTTTAAGTATTTTCAAGATTTTTAACTTAATGATGAATATGTTTTCTTATTTATTTGATTATAATTTTTATTTTGATATATATGCTTATAAAATTCAAATCATTCTTTTTGATAAATATTATTTTATCATTACAAATAATGTCCTAGGAGTTTTATGGTATACTTTTTTTATATTTTAGTAATAAAATCATTAATAGTAGAAAAATACCTTTATATTACTTAATATTATTTTTTTTTTTAAAAATTATCAGGTAAAGGTTGTTTTTGTTGAATATTTTTAATTTAAAAAGATACTACTTTTCATTAATTTTTTTTTTTTATAATTATTATTAAAGCTTCCTTTTTAATATTAATTACATAATTTTATTTTCATGAAGAAAGTTTTTTAAAATTTACAATAAATACAATTATGAAAAAGGGATTGAATAAAATTTAGAAGAAATATATATAAAATTTTAAAACAATTTTATTAAAAATTATAAATTAGAAAGAATTTAAATATTAATTTTTTATATGTGGTTAAATAAATCATGTTAATAGTTATTAATAAAATTCAAATTTCAAATAATCTTAATTCATTTTTTTCTAAAGTAAAGAAAAAAAAAAAAAAAAAATGAAAATATAAAATCAAATATTTTGATAATTATATACATTCTAAAAATAAAGCTAAAAATTCATTCTGTAAAGTCATAAGTTCATTTTTCTTATTGAGATCAAAATTTATTTTAATAAATAGCTGGCCCTACAAATGTTTACCTTTTTTTTTTTTTTTTTTTTTTTTTTTTAACAATATAATATATGTTTAACTATTTTCATTAGTAATTATAATTAAGTAAAAATTTTTAAATTTTGTTATTTTTAAATTATTAAATATATATTTTTTTATTAAATGAACAGCCAAAAAAAAGGGGACAATTGATCCTTAAAATGGGAAAAAATGTTTGCACACAGGGAAATTTGTATTTTTATTTCTTCCTAATTCTTTTATATGTAAAATGTAGAAATTGTTATTAATTTGATAATATATATTTTCATTTTATATAACCTAATATTATTTTATTAAAGCATGGAAGTTATTAGATTTTAGATACTAACGAAAATATTTACTCAAAGTTTTCATGATATATGAGGTAACATGTATTATTATTCGCATTGATTATTATATCCTGAATAATAAAAAAGAAAAAAAATATATTTGTAAAATATGTATATTTATACAAATTATTGTGACTTTTCGTTAAAAATATCATGAGAAAGAATTAAAAATTGAAAATTTTTTTTATGAATATATTTTGCTCGCATGCAATCATTACTAACATTTTTCCTTTCCTATAATTTTTTAATAAAAAAAGATAAGGAAATATATGAAAAACTTTATGAAGCTGTAATTATAATTTTAAAACAGCTAAAAAAAAAAAAAAAAAAAAAAGAAATTTATTAAAATATATAATTTTTTAAAAAAATAAAAATATATTTAATGATAAATAAACTGAAAGGAACTATTTATTTTTTTTAATTAATTTTTATTAACTTTTTGTTGTAGTTTCTGTTCGTTTTGTTCTCATTGTTCTTGTAACTTGTCACATACATGTGTGTTCAACAATTTTTTTTTTTTTTTCTTATATTCCATTTGTTTCATAAAGTATAAGAAATAAAAGAAAAAAAAAAAAAAAAAAAAAAGCATATAAATTAAATTTTTTCCAAAAATTAAATAATTATTAATATAACCTAAAATTTTAATTATGTAAAAATACATTTTTCTTTTTTAAATAATATTAATATATAAATTATATATCCATTAGTTTTATATTAAATTATTTATTTTATTTCATTTTAAAATTGGTATTTTTGATTTCTGATTTATCTGCTTTATTTGCTTTTAATTATCTTATATTTTTATATTTCCTTTACATGATTCTCATTTGCAAAAATATTATAGGGTGAAATATTTTTAATGTAATTTTATTTTATTTTTGCTTTTATTTTTTAAATTTTCTTTTAAATTTTTTTTTAATTTAATATTAAATAATTATATTTGAATAATTTTTTGTTTGCTTCAATCTTTTAAAAGTCCTATAACATATATAGATAACGTTTTAATTTTTTTGTTTTTACTACATTTCAAATAATAATATAAATATGTATATAAATAATAATCATATATATATTTATTTATTAGGAATTTTTATTATTTTTTTTCTTAAATATATAAAATAGTTCTTTCTTTTTTTTCCTTTTTCTCTTTTTTTATTTTTATTTTCAATATAAATATAAATTTTTTTTTTTTTTTTTATTTGTTATAATGGCTTGCACACCTTTACTAAGCGAGGAAGATTTATACAGATTTCGTACAAAACAATGTTTAAGACTAGCTAAAGGTTTATGTGAATTTGGATTAGATAGATGTCAATATAGTCATAGTACCGAATGGATAAGAAGGTGCCCATATTATATTTCTTTGCCGTCTTATTTGAGATATATTCCAGTATCTTGTCCCTATTTTATCAAAAATAACAATGAAGAAGAAGATAAGGAAAAAAGAGATAATATTTTAAGAAATTGCGTATTTTTAACTAATAAAGATGGGAGTGTAAATAATAAATTTTATAAATATATTGAAGAAACAAATATTAATAAATGTCCTTTGGGTGTTGAATGTCCTTTAGCACATAGTATAGATGAAATTGATTATCATCCTCTTGTATATAAAACTAAAAGATGTGAAGATTATAAACAAGCTAATTGCAATAGATATTACTGCCCAAATTTACATGGATTAGCTGAACAAAGAAAAATAAAAGAATATTTTATCCCATTTTCTAATAAGATTGATATTCCTCCTTACCCTAATGTCACTATAGTTAATAAAATTCAATATGGATCATTCAAAGGGCAAAATCAAATTTTAAATAATAAAAAAAAATTATCACAAAACTTCAACTCATCTTCACTTGATTATAGTTACTCATATAATTTAATAAATGAAAAAACAAATAAAAGTTTCGATTTTAAAAGTAGTTCAATCAATTTACCATATCAAGAAAATAAGATATTTGAAAAAAATATGAATGATGTTAAAAGAAATACTACTCCCGCATGTTATGATAGTTTAATGTCTTATGAAAGTACATTAAAAAAAAAAAAAAAAAAAAATTCTGTTTTTAGTTATTTAAACAATTTTGACAACAAATATACTTTATATTTACATATTTTAAAAAAATTTCCTTATCTGTTTGATTTAAACATATCTGATATGAATTCAAATAACTCTTTAAGTTCATTTATTACAACAGAATTATCAGATCATTCAATGTTAGATAACGAAAAAGGTAAATATTGTGCATCAGATATTATAAGTAATAATAATAGCTCAGAAAATTGTAATAATGAAAGTATTAATGCAAACAATTTAACAAAAAATTCTCTAGACACAAAAGATGATACACTCGAAAAAAAAACTGAAAAAATTTTTTTAAATAATACATATTATGATATTTTAAATCATATTTTTATGAAAAATTTAGAAATTACTAAAGAAAAAATAAAATATGAAAATGACGTAGAAATAAATTTAATAGATACATATAATTGTCCTAATAGTCAAAGTGACGATGCAGATTATGAATTTTTTACTAAATGTGCAAATCAAACTATTAACTCTCAAAAAAAAGTTGAAACATATGATAGTTTTTTAAATTTATTAAGTTATATCTTGTGCCTCCTTTATTTCACGACTAATTCAAATACTCATTCATCGTTCGATATGTATGCACATAAATTAGCTAAGCATGTAAAAAAAAAAAAAAAAAAAAAAAAAAAATGAAAAAAAGGAGAAAAACATTTACACATATTTTTATTATGAATATATATGAATAAAAAGAAAAAATAGAATAGAATGAATTATTGTCATATATAATTACATATATATTATATAGAACATTTTTTATAAGATATAGTTTTCATTCCATATTAATATGTCTTAATTTAGTAGATGTTTCATAACGACATGTATATATTATATATTTATATATATATATATATATATATATATATATATATATATTTCACATATGTATAAAAAAGAAAATAAATAAAATGTTATTAATAATCATGTTAATTTCATTTAACATATAATATATATGCAATAAATTTTTTTATTTTATGTTATTTTTTTTTTTTTTTTTTCTATTTTGGAAATAGCTATATATAACATAATTATATCTATTAATTAATTTTGAATTTTTTTTTTTTTTTTTTTTTTTTAGTTACATTGTGTATGCAGAAAAATGAAGGATGCTGCCACAGCAAATTACTAAATTATAACATAAAAGAATTAATTTAAGCGAATTAAAAGATATACATATTTTATTAATTAACAAAAAATTTCAAATTATTTTGATTCAATTTTTAAATGATTATTAAAGTAATATTTTTTTTATGAATTAAATATTAGTTAAAATATTTTCTAAAAATTAATCTGTTGATTTCGTATATATTATAATATTTTTTTTTATGATTTTTAAAAAAATTTTTTTTAAGAAAATACTCATTTTTTTAATTTTTTTTTTCTTTTTTATTATTAATTAATCGATAATTTATCTCTTAAAAATTCTTTAATATATAATTTAATAAAAAATATAAGAAGGTAGCTTTTAAATATAATTATTATGTGAAATTACAAAGATTCTTGTCTTCAAATAGTATAATTTAAAAGAAATTTATATACTGTAGGAATAAACTAGTAAGTAAATATTTTAAACTTGAAATATCTATAATATTTTGTTTTTTATTTATTTTTATATATATATATATTTTTTTTTTTTTTTTTTTTCCATATTTTTTATATACATAATTAACTTAATATTTTTTTCACAAACTTATTTTAAAAATTAAATTGTCTTATTAATTTTTGTTATTCTTTTATATATTTATTCTTTTTACAATATTTATAAAATACATAATTTAAATTATATATTCCTAATTTTGTTGATTTAGACATTATTTGCTATTTTTCTTTTTAAATTAATGGATTTTTAAATAACTTCATATAAAAGAAATATATATAATTAAATGTTTTTTTTAATTATAATTACTAATAAATAATAAAAAATTGTAAAATGTGTCTCCGAAAAAAAAATAATAGGTATCAGTTAAATTATATAAATATGCATCACATGCAGGTATGCAAAAACATTTTTATGTTTTATCAAACATGTAATACATTAAAGAAAGAAATAGAAAATAATAAAGAATATAAAAATTAATATAGCTTCAGTAAATATAGAAAAAAATTAAAATTTTTTTTTTTGTTAATTTAATTTTTTTTTTTTTAAATAATCTTTTAACAATTAATATTCAATCAAATTAATAACAAAAGAGTGTTCACTATATAAATACATACGCACTGATTTATCAGTGAAATTATAAAAAAAAAAAAAAAAAAAATTAATAAAAGATGCATATAATTATTTAATATTCTTATAAGAAATTTAGATTATGGATAATTAATATTATTTATGTTATTCCATTACAAGTTAAATTTATAATGTTCAACTAATATTATTAAAATAAACTTAAGTACTAAAATGATATGTTTATTTCTAATTTTGTTTATATAAAAGGAAAAAGATTGTTTTAATAAAAAAAAAAAAAAAAATTAATTTTTCTAGATAATATACATATATTTATAATTTATTACAGAGTGTAATTTTATTTTTATTTTTATGAATAATTAAAGTTTCTTTGTATATCTTTCAAATAATTTCATTTTATGTCAATTTTTAATAATGATAATTCATATAGACTTCTTTAAAAAAAAATAAATATATATCTAAAATAAAATTGAAATACTCTATTAGCAAATTATAAAAGCATAAAATTTATTTTGTAAAAAATAAAATGATTTTATATATTACTTTTTTTTTAAATCTACAATGACAGAATCTTATGTATACTCCTTAATAAAATACTAATAAATATATTAATATTTGTTACTGTATTTGTATTTTTCAATATAATACAACAAAAGAAAAAAAAAAAAAAAATTTTTTTTTATAGTTTTTATAAAAATTTATTTATCTAGTTAAGATTAAAAGACAATATTTTGTTACCAACATAGCTTTTAAATTCAATGATTCCATAAATATTTAAATTTATAAAAATTATATTTTCTTTTTATACCATTATATTTTATCTTTTTCTTTATATTTTTAATGATTCATTAAAAAATTTTAAACTATTCATTAAAATTTGATTTTATTTTTTTTAAAGTGCTATCACACATATATATTCAAATGTTGCTGTATAATGAATGAATTAAGAAATAATTTATTTTATCTTTAAATATAAAGAAAGAATTTTTTTTATTAAATATATCATTATATTAAAAAAAAAAAAAAAAAAAGTATAAATTTAATTTTTTATGAATAAGTTTTCTTATAATTTTTATAATTTACATAAACTATTACATGCATATTGTTTAAAAAATAAATATATATGTTATATCATTTATATATCATATGTACGTATATATAAAAAAAAGAAATAAGATAAAATATAATAAAATAAAAATATATAAAAATAATTCCCGTGAACATATATTACACATATATTTACGTATATATATTACTATAAACACAGTATAAAAATTTATATGCATATATATTTTTTCACGGTCTTATCATTTACTTAGAATAAAGTTATTATAATATATTTACCACACATAAATACTTTCTGAGACTTTTCAAATTTCATTTTTGCTCTAAGCTTTTTATATTTATATTTATATTTCTTTTTCTTTTTCTTTTTCTTATTCTTTTTCTTTTTTTTTTTTTTTTTTTTT